AAATGGCTGCTGGAACGGATTAATTTCGTAATTAGAGGTTCCACTGTATTTGGACAAACATTGCTTTTGTCAGTCGGAATTCAGTGCCTGCTAATTTCTGTTGATAACTACAGAAACAATATTAGCACGTTTTAACATCTACATGAAACCGCTAGGAAAGGTCGTCTGGAATTTTGGAGTAGGGGGTCACCTGTACACTGATGATGCCCACCTCTATCACTCCTTTCCACCTAATTCCAAGGAAGCTGTTTCTGTCCAAAACCGGTGTCTGGCCACTGTAAGGACTGGATGAGGGCAAACAAATTGAAGCTTAATCCAGACAAGACCAAGGTGCTCCTGCTCCTGCTCCATGGCCAGATCCGGGAATAGGGATTCATCCTGTGTTAGATGGGGTTACATTCCCCTGAAAACTCAGGTTTGTAGTTTCGGGGTACTTCTAGATTCAGCACTGAGCCTGGAAGCCCAGGTATCAGTGGTGACCAGGAGTGCCTTTGCACAGCTAAAACTCATGTGCCAACTGCACCCATTCCTGGAGAAGTCAGATCTGGCCAGGTTAATACATGCCATGGTTACATCCCGTTTGGATTAATGTAATGCATTCTATGAGAGGCTGCCTTTGAAAAGTGCTTAGAAACCTCAGCTGGTCCAAAGAGCTGCAGCCAGGGTGTTAACTGGAGCTGGTTACAGGGAGCATACAACTCCCTTGTTGCAACAGCTCCACTGGCTGCCAGTCTATTTTCAGGAACAATTGAAAATGCTTTTTTTGACCTATCAAGCCCTATATGGTTTGGGTCCAGGCTATTTGAAGGACAGTATCTCCCTGTATGAGCCCCCCAGAGTAGTAAGGTCATCGGAAGGGGCCCTTCTCTCTGGCCCACTAGCCTCTCAGATGCGTTTGGTGGGAACAAGAGAAAGGGCCTTCTCTGTGGCTGCTCCTAAGCTCTGGAACTCCCTCCCTAGAGAGGCCAGGATGGCTCCAGCCCTGCTGTCCTTCCCGCAGCAGATAAAGACTTTTTATGTTGCCAGACCTTTGCATGACATGGATGCTGTTTTCTTTTTCTTTTTGTTTTAAAGAGTTTTAAACTTTAAATTTTAATAATGTAATGTTTTTAAGTATTAGAATTGTTTAATTGTTTTTAAACTCTGTAATGTTTTATACTGTTTTAACTTGGACTGTTTTAGGTTTGTTAGCCACCTTGAATCCCGGTACTGGGAGGAAGGTGGGATATAAATAAATATAAACATAAACAAAATGTTGTGGTTGTGTGTCTTCAAGTCATTTCCAACTTATAGCACCTTTAAGGCACATCTATCATGGAGGTTTCTTGGCAAGATTGGTTCAGAGGGGATTTCCTTTGCCTTCCTAGGAGTAGGCAGGCCGGCTCCATTGGGCCTAGCCTGAAAAGAAGAAGGC